AATGAAATGTTCATAATTTTATTATTACATTTAAATGTTATTATATAAAAGTTCAAAAAATAAAAAATAGAAAAAAAGCGTTGTTAAAATTATAGAAAATAAAATATATAAAGTATTTTCGAATTCGAAAGATTTGAAAAAAAATATTCCAACAATCTAATATAATTCGTTTCTAGAAACTTCACTTCTTTTCCTGTATAATCTTATCGAACTTGACCCATGCTACCGAGCGATCGGCGCCACAGATTTCTGTAAAAACAGGTTCGTTTATAATTATAACATAATATATGCAATAAGTGATATAAATTTTTACAATTTTTATTACACTTATTGTGAAAATTTAATTTTTTTACAAAGAAAAATTGTTATTTAATATGATTTTTTTTCTAAAGTGAATAATTTATCTTCCGAATATTACTATTACTATTATTAAAACTATTATTATTATTATTAATTTAATTTATTAATATAATAATAACAATATTAATTGTGATTTAATATTTTTTTCTAAAATGAATAATTTATCTTCTGAATTTTACTATTACTATTATTAAGACTATTATTATTATTATTATTATTATTATTATTATTATTATTATTATTATTATTATTTATTTTTATTTTAATTTTTACATTTTTTCTTAGTTTTACTTTTATTTTTATTATTCAACACTTTGAAATATTAAATTTTTTCTTTAATTGCCTACAACTAAAAATTATACTTTCCCCTATAAAATTCTTGTTTTAAAATATAAAATTCAATAGAAAAAATGATGAACTAAATTATTTTTTGATCGAGTCTTTTGTTATTTAAATTATAAAAAATTTTTCTTCACGTATGTGTGTCTGTAATATTTCTAAGCTGATATTTCCGTTAATCAAATACAAGTGTTTTTTTCTACATATCTTTGGGTTCAATGCATTCTATTAATATATAACACAAAAAAAATTATCTGTACTTGATTCATTTTAAAAAGCAAAAATGTATCGTCCTACTTATGTAAAAAAAAAAAAAATTTCTGTTACATTTAAATAATTTTTTTTCTACAAAAATTACAAAAAAGCAAAAAGTCTGACACCAATTTTAATTAGTAAACATTTTTTAATTTTTTTCTTACTAATTTAAATTTAGAGAGAATGTAAAATTTTTCTTCACAGCATTAAAGAGGGTATAAAAAAAATCTATAATTGGAAAATATTTCTCCTCGGGAAAATTAAAATTTATATATGGTAAAAGTTACTAACGACTTTAAGCATTTATGATATACATGCTTAAAGAGCTAATTATTGCCCTTCTCTCCCCCTCCCCTTCTTTCTTCCTATTGTCATTAAAGCACTGCACACGCCTCAAGTCGGTCATTAAATACATTCTGTAATAATAGCAAACAATGAATTGGAAATTATTTTTTTACCGCCGTTTACTCATGTTGTACGCGCTCTTTTATATATATACATTATATCGATATATCAAGATTTAAATTAATAGTCTCGCAACGTGTTCATTAAATCTATAATAAGTAACTGATATGAATGGTAATTTAGATGAAAGTGTGTTGAAATTAGTGGTTTATACACTGGTTATGTACTTCCAAGTGTTATACAGATGCAAAAAAAAAGGAAAAAAAAATTCTAGAGCATTTATAAAATAATTGCGGATCCATTTAATGTTTGTTGGACGATTAAACTATACACTATACACTATATAATATTATAAATATATTGTAAATTATATGTTAATTATATGTTACATTTTAACCACCAATTCTAATTCAAAACGAATTTCAATTATAGGTTTTACTAATATTTATCCTCCATTAACAGAAATAATTGTAAGAAATTAAATTTCAAAAATTAGGTAATACGGAAACGAAAAATTCAAAAATCATTCTATAGAGAAATATATTTCATATAAAGTGTGAAGATTTTATTTGTGAAAAATTCAAGGAATTTCAGTTCAGTAAGAAAAAATATTTATTAGACGAGATTCCAATAGTAAAATATTCCTGTTTACGAGGGGAGAGGGAGAGAGAAAAAATAATAAATACTCGATAAGTCGTTATATAATGAAAGCACTAGAGATGAATTAATCAAGTATGGAAAAAAATTCTGTTTGCTATATTTAAACTATATTTATGGTCATATTATTTTAAAAAAATCTATAATGAAAAATCGATCACTAATTCAAATATGGAGAAAAAATTCCTTATGCAATCATCTTTTTCTGTAAATTTTACTACTCTTGGGAACAATCTTATGTAAGGTTTATAAGTAGCTTACAAGTTTTTTTTTCGGCAAAATATCCAGACCAACTGTATTTTCTTTAGAATTTTGTAAAGTTTACTGAACTCTCATATATAGGAACAATTATATAAATTTATAAGTAGCATATAAATTTATAAAACAAGTTTCTTTTGGAAAATATATAGAAACCAACTGGTATTATTTTAAGACTCTTGTAAATTTTACTAAAAACTCTTTTGCTAATAATTTTTATTCAAACTACGCACTGGATAATTAATTTTAAAAAAGTATCAAAAAATAGCTTTCAAACTAAAAAAAAAAAAGTAAAAAAGTAGCTATCGAAAAACTAAACTTGACGACCAAAAAAACTCGTTTTAGATACTTGACAAAACTGACAAAAATTCCATTCTATATTTTATTTTCCTGACTTTTTTCCAATTTTCATCAAAAATATTTACTTCTTTTGTATTTTTTCACTTTACTTCTTTTTGTATTTACTTCTTTCTTATTTTGCTAATAAATTGAATTCCTATAACAAATTTTATTACTCATGAAAGAATTTAAATTTTTATAAAAATAATTTAATTCTTGCGAAGAATTTTATAAAAATTTTTAAATTATTAAAATATTTGAAAATAATTGAATTCCTGTGAAAAATTCTAATATTTTTGTAAATAACTGAATTCTTCCAAAGAATTACACAAAAAAATTTTTAAATAATTAATTTCTTCGAGGAATTGAAATTAAATTTTTAGGAATAATTGCATTTCTCGAGCTATTCCTGCGTAAAATTTTATCAAAAATAATTGAATTCCTCAGAAGAATTTTATTATTTATAAAAGTAATTGAATTATTGTGAAACATTTTATTAAAATGTTTAAAAAGAATTGAATTTCTGTGAAAAATTTTATTATTTACGAAAATAATTGAATTCCTAAAAAGTATTTTATTATTTATGAAAATAATGGAATTCTTGCGAACGATTTTATTAGAATTTTTTAAAATAATTGAATTATGCAAAGAATTTTATTAAAATGCCTCAAAATAATTTAATTTTCGTAAATAATTTTGTTATTTATCGACACAATTGAATTCTTTCAAAGAATTATTAATGTAAATAATTGAATTCTTGGAAAAAATTTTATTAAAATCTAAAAAAATAATTGAATTATTTCAAAAAAATTCAATTAAAATTGTATTTTAAATAACTGATTTTTTTCAAACAATTTTATTAAAATATTTACAAATAATTGAATTCTTCCAAAGAATTTTAAAGAAATATTCATTTAAATAATTGATTTTTTTAGAAATTGAAATTAAATTTTTAAGAAAAATTACAATTTTTGAGCAATTTCTTTAAAATTGCATTAAAAATAATTGAAATTTTATGATGAATTTTATAATTTGTGAAAATAATAAAATAGTTGCAAAGAATTTTATTAAAATTTTTCAAAATACTTCAATTCCTAAAAAGAATAAAATTCTAATATTTTTGTAAATTATTGAATTCTTCCAAAGAATTAAAAAAAAAACATTTTTTAAAATAATTTCTTCTTGGAGGAATTGAAATTAAATTTTTAAGAATAATTACATTTCTCCAGCAATTCCTGTAAAATTATATTAAAAATAATTGAAATTCTTGCAATGAATTTAAATATTTATGAAAATAATTGAATTATTGCGAAAAATTTTAATAAAATGTTTAAAAAGAATTGAATTTCTGTGAAAAATTTTGTTATTTTTGAAAATTATTGAATTCTTCGTAAGAATTTTATAAACATTGTTTTAAATAATTAATTTTTTCGAAATATAATAAATATTATGGAAATTTCATTTAAAATAATTGAATTCTTGTGGAAAATTTTATTTGTGAAAATAATTGAATTTTTGGATTAGTTAATTTAAAATAGTATATTAAAAATAATTGAAACTCTTCGGTGAGTTTTATTATTTTTTAGGAAAGTAATTGAATTCTTGCTTGGAATTTTATCAAAAAAATTTTTAAATAATTGAATTTTCATGAAAAATGTTATTATTATTATAGTAATTGAATTATTGTGAAGAATAAATTGTACAAAAATTTTGTTAAATAATTGATTTTTTCGAAATTTTGTTGAAAATGCTATTCGAAATTAATTGAATTCCTGTGCAAATTTTATTATTTATGAAAATAATTGAATTTTATCAATTTTTTCTAATAATTGAATTTGCGAAATTTTATGAAAATACTAGATATTGAAAATAATTAAATTTCGAATATTTTTTGAAAATAATTGAATCGTTCTAAAGAATTTGATAATAATTTTTGAGAATAATTTTTTGATTTCTAGTATTAACGAATTGAAAGTAGTGTAAATTTAAAAAAAAAACAGAAATAGTATCTTTTAGTGGCTGAAATCTAAAAAAAAGTACCTAAATAGTATCATAACGTCAAAAAAATAGTAAAGACGAGGTTTTAGTAGATGAGTGCAAAGCCTGTTTATTAATCATCTCTTTTTTTGCAGAAAACATCACAGAAAATTGTCGTGAATTTTCAAAAAGTAAATCATTTACTATTTTTTAAAAAGAAATTTTCATAAGAAAGAAAAATCGCATTTACTTTTTTTTTCCTTTATAGTAAGAAAATTGTCATAAGACAAAAAAAATTGGTTCAAGTAGCTATCCCTATACTTGAACCATTTTTTCTCTCTCAGGACAATAATTTATTTTTATTTATAATATATATGATATATCGTATTTATAATGAATTTAAAGGGAAAGTTGGACCTGCATGAGTAGAAATCGACACTCCAGAATATCATTCACCTGAGAGTGTATAATACTACTTTCCTAAAAAGAGGTCCCTACGAATAAAGATCGAGACCAGACCGGCTTTGACCAGCTGCCACGCCATCGCCAAGAATCCCTTCCTTCTCTCTCTCTCTATATTTTATTTTCTCTTTCATTTTTTTATCATCCTCTCTCTTCTTCTCTCTTCTCTCTCTCTCTCTCTCTTTAAGTGTTGAGTACGCTTTCCCAATTCCACGTTTTCTAATGTACCATACACAAACACAAAACGAATGTGAGAATTCTTAGAGTGTCTTTTTATATAAATATGTATGTATCCATATGTACATAAGTTTATTTAAATGTCTGAGAGTACCTATGTATAGGCACATATACATATTTAGTACCTATATAGCAACATACAAACATATTTGTAAGTATTTTTGCCTCTGTATGTGTACGGATGTATGTTAGAGTATGTTTCTATATTTTTGAGTCTGTATGCATTTTTGTATTATATTTTTGGGTCTATATGCATTTTTGTTTTGTATTTTTGGGTTTATATGCATTTTTGTATCATATTTTTGGGTTTATATGCATTTTTGTATCATATTTTTGAGTCTATATGCATTTCTGTAACATATTTTTGAGCCTACAAGCATTTCTGTATCATATTTTTGAATGTGTGGGTATTCTTGTATCTATAGATTTTTGAATGTATGTTCTTTTTTGAATCTATGTATTTTTGTATCTATATGTATTTTTGTATGTGTGCGTGTGTATAATAGGTGTGCATGCAGGCATTGGGGAGACACATACCATCGAAAAGCAGACACAACACATTTTCGTGTTCGGTTGAGTTCGAGAGGCTTCCTGTTGCCAGGCGAATGGTAACAATTTAGCTACACACTTGACGATGTCATTCTCACATTTACTCAAGTCGGAAGCATTATTATCAAATGTAGTGAGGCAAAAAAGCTGTCTTTTCACAATACACATGTGTAATTTAGTTATCTTATACGACTTTGTATGTCACGTGGACGAAATTGTTTCTGCGCTTATCTTTTTCAGTAGCTCGTTATACTCTATTTCGTTCTTATAAGTAAACAAATTTTCTGCTTAGCTTTACTTTTTATTCATATCATTCAACATTTCCCTTCTTAATTCATAATTTTTACACTTGGAAATTTGTACCTTTTACTTAAAAATCCCTAATTCTTTCAGAACCTTTATTTCTTACTCGAACACTTAGAATTATTTTTCCAGCATTTCGAATTTCTTTTCGAACATTTGGAACTTTTTGCGGAACATTTAGAATTTATTTATTTCCCAACTATACCATTTCTCCAGAAGGGGTAAATCAGAAGGTAAATTAGATGTTAAAGATGGAAAATTATTGCGGAAAAATAGAAAAATTGTTTCAATAGCAAAAAAGCAGATGTATGGAATAGAAGTAGATGTTAAGTATCTACTAAATCTAAAATATGAAGTAGAATATGAATATGGCATAGAAATAGAAACGGAAATGAAATGGGATATTCTATCCGATGATGAGCAATCACCTTAATTATAATTTGAACATGAACCTATTGCTATTAACTGCTATTAAACCCTTTTCCATAAAACGCAGCGACAATGGATCGTACATCAAGAACATAAAAAAAGCGTATCATTCCCAACCATAAATAACATCATCAACCGGTTTTATTCCCTAATCAGTTGCAATCTCTGACTTATAGCCATCAGTACGATCCAGACCAATGTAAGTGGGCGAGTCACACACACATAAAAACGAAAGAAAAAAAACTGACGACTCGCTATTATTAATAAATGTGTGACACTCCACTTTTTCTGGATATTCAGACATAAATTAATATTCTACAATAAATATTGCGATAAATATTATCATAACACGATAAATATATAGTATAGTTAGTAATAAATAGTATCATAGTTACTGTATTATAAATAGTAGCATTCAATAGTTTAATTATTTATTAAACTATGCGAATATTTTATTAAAAATGAATTTGTATTCAAAAATAGCATCAAAAATAGCATCAAAAACAGTATCAAAAATAGTATCACTAACAGTATCACTAACAGTATCACTAACAGTATCACTATTTTTCCAAGTTTATAAAATTGAGACAAAGTTGCATCTCAAATTCTCAACAATTTTGATACTATAGATTTTGATTTTGACTATAGAGAATGTTTACTACAAGAATACTGGAGTAAAATAATTGCTACAGTTGCATTAGCAGAATAATTGTAATAATCTCAAAGGAAAAAAGCATTTTTCTTTTTTTATACTAACTAGAATAATAAAAATCGTATAATATCGTGGTGTGGAATAGCATAAAAAAAAGTGATATTTAAGGGGTCCTGGGAGTTTATGATAGGGGAGTGAAAAAGACGACAATGTCTCTGTGCTGACGATGAGAGTAAAGTGGCGTCACGCTATATGGTGTGATAGGAAGACATTTTCTACCTAGGGGTCAAGCCTTCAACCCTATTAGAAACGCACCCCTGATCAACCTTGCCAAGAAAAGCTTGCGAATGACCGCACTAGAGTTCCGAGGCGCTAATACGAACACGATAGGGGATGAAGAAACTTAAAAAGCCATTTTAATTAGCGAATTATGTGACCGTTAAATTCATACACCTTCACTTATACATGCACATAAAATATACATGTATTGACACATAAAATGAAAATAGAAACACATACCAAGAAAATACTTAAAAATATCAATATTAACATACACATTACCTAATTATAATAATTAATTTATTTACGACGAATTTAATTTTACACGAGCTACTTTTTATAACTGCGTGATAAAAATTTTTGTTCTAATTCTAAAAATTCATGTAGAATTTAAAAAATTTTATTTATAGTTACTTAATCTGTTAAAATTATCAATATACGTACAGGGTTGCCACGCTTTTGCTCTTTTCGAATTCTCTAACTTTTCCAGGTTTTCCAAGTTAAAAAACAAAATTTTTCCAGGTTTTTAAAACGAAAACTATTCGAAAACACCAATAACTACATTTTTAAATAAATATTTAATCATTATCTTTTTTAAGAAATTAAGATATTCAAAAATTTGAAATTCAATAACATATAAGAATATATTATTAAGAATATTATTATAAAACATGTTTTATAATAATTAAAACTTGCTACTGTGTTACTGTAACTTCTTAAAAAATTATATTTTCATCATTACGATTATTCATTTCTAAAATTTTCAACTAAAATTCTTCTTTAAGTCAATTTTTTTTAAAATAATTTTTGAAAAAGTTCTTTGTGAATTTTCAAATTCTTTTGTTTACAATTTAATTTTACGAAATTTCGATTAAAAAGACATTCTTCAATTAAATATGTTAGAAATTAAAAACTTCAAATAATTAAAAAAATTCTATTCAACTTATTGAGAAAAATTAATTTTATAGAATTCTTAATTAAAAGTATGAAAAGTTCAAATTTTCAAAGATTTTAATTTGAAATTCATTTTTAAATCAATATTAATTAGAAAATTCTACGAGAAATCAATTATTTAAATATAAAAATAAATATTTTATTGAACAATTGAATGTTTCTTAAAATTGAATTTTCATAAAGAATTTTATCAACAACTTTTTAAATAATTGAATTCTCTTGATAAATTTTAATAAAATTCTTAAGAATAATTGCATTTTTCGAGAAATTTGATGAAAATTGTTTTAAAAATAATTGAAATTCTGCCAAGAATTTTATTAAAAGTTTTAAAAATAATTTAATTTCGGAGAAAAATGTTATTATTTATAAAGATAATTGAAATTTTGACGAGAATTTTTGTAAATTTTTAAACATAATTGGATTTTTGCGAAGAATTTTATTAAAATTATTTTGAAAAAAATTGAATTGTTACGCAAAGAATTTCATTAAAATTTTTGAAAATAATTTTATTCTTTATAAAGAAATTGTAGCAAAGTTTATTAAAAAAATTAAATTTCTTTGATAAATTTTAATGAAATTTTTAAGAATAATAACTTTTTTAGAGAAATTCGATTAAAAATGTATTAAAAATAATTGAAATTTAGCATTGAGTTTTATTATTTATGAAAATAATTGAATCCTTGTAAAAAATGTTATTATTTATGAAAATAATTGAATAGTACATGAAAATAATTTGTAAATAATTGAATTCCTGTGAAATTTTTATTATTTATGAAAATAATTAAATGTTTACGTAGAATTTAATTAAAAATTTTTTTAACTAATTGAATTCTTTTAGGAATTTTTATTAAAGTAGTAGATATTGAAAATCATTGAATCGAGGAAAGTTTTTGAAAATAATTAAAATTTGGCCAAGAATTTTATTAAAATTTTTGAAAATAATTGAATTTTTGAGAAAAATTTTACTACTTTTGAAAATAATTGAAATTCTACAATCATTTGTAATTGCTTCAAAATTCAAATTTGTTTTAGTGTTTTTAACTATAATTCTTCTATAAATCCATTATTTTTAATAAAACTTGTTAAATATATATTAAACAATTTAACTAATTTCAGAAGAATTTTAGTATTACAATTTTTTCTTAAATCTAAGTTTTTTAATATTTCTAATTAAATTCATTTAAAATTGAAATTTTTAAAAAATTTTAAATCAAAATCTTTTGATGTTCATCTACTTATAAAAATCATAAACGTAATTCTTCTAAAATTGAATTAATTTTGAAATATTTAATTGAAATTAGATTTCAAGAATAAACACAATAAATTTAGAAAACAACAATTTTCCAGGATTTCGATCAAAATTTCTCTGACTTTTCCAGGTTTTCTCAAGGTTTATAAAATTACCTGACATTTCCAGGTTTTCCTGGACATTTCCAAAACACATCTTTAGTTTTGAATTTTTATCACATTTTTAAAGAAACATTTCGTTAAGATTCGAAAAGAAGGAATTATTTTTCTAAGAGAAAAACTCGATCATTTAAGAAAAAAACTTATAATAAAAAATCAATTTTTCATATTAATGATCCATTATTTGGTTTGAATAAGAATTCTCTTAATTATAAACAGCACAATCATTATTGTGTGTTTTGAAGAAAAAAAAAGAATAGATCGTTAAATTTGATTACTTCTCTCATTGATTATTAAAAAAAAGCTTCTTGTTTAGCACAAAAGCAATTGTCAATAAATTATTCAAATGACTTCATTTCTGACTGGATAAAATTATTCATCATATTTATAAAAATCCGAAACAATGAAAGGAGTACATGTCCAAGAATATGGAAATAATTCTATGGAAAACAAACAGAAGGAGAATTCTTAAAACCTTGCTGAGTACTTTTATAAATAAATAAACTGAAAACTAATCGCTGTAAACTATGGAATATTAAAAAAAACGTTGCAGCTTTAATTTATACCAAAAAAGATCCGAATAATCAATTCTTGGATTAATTTTTTCTATTCGACAAAAATGCTTCTAATTCAAAACTAAATCATTTCATTCATTTCTGAGCCATTTTTAGAAAATAATCCTTCTACTGATTATTTTAATGTTTGATATGGATTAAAGCATTGCATAAATCTATTTTGGTATTAAAATAATACCTCACTTACTATAAACTAAACTGAAAAATAATCTAAAAAATACACTAAATAATAAATAAACGAAAAGTAAATTAAAAAAAGAAAGTGATTCGCAAGGCTGCTATTAATTTAAAATCTTTTGCTCTTCTTGAAGGAGAGAGAGAGAGAGAGAGTCTCCTCTTCGCGAAATTTCTTTTGGGGATCCGAAGACCGAATAAGCCAGGACGGAATCGAAGTATATAAGGTCCTGTTTTTCAAGTTCGTTAACCTTTATACGATATCGAAACCGCATGGAGGTCATTCAGCAAGATACCTAACAAGCGTCTCTCGATCGAACGAAGACTCAGAGAGGCGAAAAGAAAAAGGGTAGACACCACGTCTTTTTAAAAAATTTAAATAATAAAAAAAAGAGTCGAAAATTGATTAATGTTTCGTTAGAGAAAAATTTAAACTGACAAAATAATCTCAAAAATCAAGATTTAAATGTTTTGGATCATCGAAGAAACAGAAATTTACGTCATTTTTAATAGAAATTAAGGACAATAATTGCTATACATATTTAGTAAACGTATGATGGGGTAATATCGGTAAAATCTCGAAAAACTCGTCATAATGAAGTAAAACAGAAAAGCCAAAAAAAATAGGTTATGTTCTTCGTTTTTTAACGGCGGAAAAGAATGCCAGCACGTGCAAATAAATGCAATCGTAAATATTGACAGAAACAAATGTTCATGTTTAAATATACATATTCAAACGAGAATTGTTCATTTTCTCACCTACTATTATTTGAAAATAAACAAAAACTAAACAAGTCATTCACGACCGTATTTGAGGCGACATGCGACGCCATAACTGTGACGTCATTTGCGCGCATGCGAAAAGGATCAAATTTCTCTTAAGGTCATATAATCGCAAGTCGCAGAAAAACTCCGCAGTTTTTCTATTTTAGCTTCAAGTATAAAAAAAATCAGAAAGACTCTGATAAGTCTTTTCCTATCATTTTTAATTAATTTCTTTATAATGATTAGCAAAAACAAAACTAAAAACAAGGTAGTACTATATTTAAAATTAGTGATAACAATTCACGCGCTTACGCGCGAGGCTGACTTCTCCCTCGCCTTTTTAAATAAAATTAGCAATTTTAAAAATAATAGAACGTACAAATTTTAAATTCAAATTTTTTTTTTATAAAAATAAAATATGAATTGGAATATATAGTTTTAATATTATTATAATTATAATAATCATATATTCTGACGTAGGGAATTCAGGGAAAAATCATGAATTTTTATTAAACGTACTGAAAAAAATTATATTTTTAGAATTCATAAAAGAAAATTCTAAATTTTTATGTATTTTTCGTTTGACTCGTAAACTATATAATTACCACGAATTCTAATACAAAACCTTGAATTTTTTCAATTTCTGACAAAAATTTCTTTTTAAATAGCTTCAATCTTGAAAAACTATCATAAAATAAATAAATTATTTAACGAATAATTTTATTTACATATCTCAAAATTAATTCATTTTTAAAAGAGTTATTTTCAAAAGTAATAAAATTCTTATCATAAAATTCAATTATGTTCAAAATTTACAAAAAAAAAATATCGACAAAATTCCAATTATTATCTTTATAAATAAAAAAATTCTTCAAAATTCAATTATTTTCAAAAATTTTTCTCATTTCAATGATTTTCAATATCTACTATTTTAATAAAATTACCCAAAAGAAAATTCAATTATTTAAAAACAATTTTAATAAAATTGTACGCAAACATTTAATTATTTTTATAAATAATAAAAATTTCACAGGAATTCAAATATTTACAAATTTTTAATAAGTTTCTTCGCAATATATTTAATTATTTTCATAAATAGTAGAACTCATTGCAGAATTTCAATTATTTTTAATACAATTTTAATCAAATTCCTTGAAAAATGTAACTATTCTAAAAATTTTTATTAAAATTCGTCAAAAGAATTCAATTAATTAAAAATTTGTTAATAAAATTCTTTATAAGAATTTTAATTTTAAGAAACATTTAATTATTCAATAAATAATTTACTTTTGTATTTAAATAATTGAATTCTGGTAGAATTTTCTAATAAAAATTGATTTGAAAATGAATTTTAGTTTAAATTTCAGATAAATAAATTTAACAGAACATTTTTTTCAATAAAATGTTTAATTCTTTATTTTCTAAAAATTCAAAAATTTTCATTTCCAATTCAATTTTCTAATTGACAAATATAATTTATAAACATTTTCTTCCTTTATTTTTAAAAAACTTTGAATTTTATTAAAATAATTAAAATTAAGAAATAGAATTAATGCAAATAACAATATTGTTATTGAGAAATAAAAATTATGCCTAAAATGGGCATATTTCCTACTTCTTTATCAACATTTTTTAACAATTAACAATTTTCTATTATTTTTTATAAAGAAAAAGGAGAATAATTTGCATAACAATTTAGATCAGTCAAACGAAATTTGTTACAGAAAAAAGCATATAACAAACAAAATGGGTATATTTTTTTATTTGTTAATCATAATTTTTTTTTAAATTTTCTAATTTGTAATATATTATTATTAATAAGTATAATAAACATTATATTATTAATTATAATCAACTTAAAATTGTAATAACAAATAAAAATCATCAAAAAAAAAAAAAAATTTTCATTTCTTTTTATTAAAAGACTAAAATTTTGTTAAATATTATGTTTTGTCAAATTGAAATTAGGCAGATTTTTGTTCTTTACTTCTAAACAAAATTAAAAAATTATTTAACAACTGTGATTAAGAAACAGAACATTTATTTATTTTACATTATTTTTCTTTATGAATCACAATTTTTTTTAACAAAATTATTATTTTGTTTTGGAAAAAAAAGAAAAATATTTGCACAATTCCTATTTTTAATCTTATTCATCATTTTAATTCAATTATTATTTTCTAGAATTTGAAATTAATTTTTTATGAAAATATTCAAATTCCTTAAAAAAATTTTATTATTTACGAAAATTATTGAATTCCTGTGAAATTTTTATTATTTATGAAAATAATTAAATGTTTGCATACAATTTTATTAAAAATTTTTTTAAATAATTGAATACTTTTTGGGAAATTTTATTAAAATAGTAGATATTAAATATCATTGAAATTAAAAAAAAAAATTTCAAAATAATTAAAATTAAGACAAGAATTTTTTTGACATTTATGAAAATAATTGAACTTTGGAGAAGAATTTTGTTATTTATAAAAATAATTGGGATTTTTACGAGAATTTTTTTCAAATTTTGAACATAGTTGAATTTTATTTATTTTTTTTTTAAATAATTGAATTTCTACAATTATTTGTCATTTCTCCAAAATTGAATTTTTTTAGTGTTCTCAACAAAAATTTTAATTAGAAAATCTTTAAATTCTTTTATTTTTAAAATTGATAATTTTATTTTTAAAAAAAGCGGCAAGAAGTTAGTTAATTGTTGCTAGTGTTATTTTATTATAAATCATGAAAAAATACCTGCATATTTTCGAATTGTCAAACAAAATTATTTTTTAAAGACAAAAAACAAAATCATACACAGAAAGTAACTTCAAACTGCGGACAGAATGAATGAAAGAATACGGAGATTAATATAGTTAATTAATGTTTATAATATAAATATTAATTAATAATTTATAAAAAATGAGGTTAATCCTCATTGGGTTAATTTCAATGTTCAGATTTAAAGTTAAAAGAAATCGATAAAAAAAAAGAAGAAACGATATTTTTCTCACTAATATTCCGCTTGATAAATACAACTTAATTTCTTATATAATTAGGGGAAAAAAGAGAATGTTCTCTAATGGAAGAATTTTTGAAGTTTGTGATTATAAAGAAGCTTTTTACTGTGGCAAGCTAACACTATCCGAGAGAGGGTGCGGCTCAATCAATTCGTCCAGGGCGCGGTCGTCCAGGAGTTCTTTGCCTCGCCTATAGCATGGCAACAACCCCTTGGACGTCTGACCCACCCCCCAACCCCTTTGCCTTAACACCCCCGTTACACCCCTATATTTATGGCACTTTCACCTATAGTCCTATACCGCACGGTAAACAAATTGAAAAGGATCTCACCCTATCGTTCCTGTCAACATTCGTCTTCTTTCTTTATGTACCTTTATTTCAGCGAATGTTAGAAAGTAAACATTTTCAATTTTCATTTTCGCTGGCACCAAAAAAAAAAAAAAAAAACTCAGTTCCGGTCGAGTCAATAATAGACATATCAGAGAAGGCAAACCTCTTTATAAAATTTATAATGCTCGTGAAGCACTTTTTAGGAAATAAGATTTATCTGAAAAGGTAAATATTGCGTTTTGCTGTTTGTAGCGCATTTTTATTTTTTTAAACGAAATTTCTGTTTATGTAATTTTGTTAGCGCAGTTTCAGATATTACTTTTTTTTTAATGCGAGAACATTTCCAATTTTCGTTGGCACCAGAAAAAAACTCGGTTCCGGTCGAGTCAATAATAGATATATCAGCGAAGGCAAACCTCTTTATAAAATTTATAATGCTCGTAAAGCACATTTTAAAAAAAGATTTACCTGAGACAAGCCAAACATTGGTTCACTATTTTTGTGTCATTTTGTTTCTTTTGTTGATTTATTTCAATGAAATTTCAAAAAAAAAAACTGTTTATGAAATTCTCCTAATTATTTCCGATAAATCTCTCCTTATGATATTTTTTTAATTTCGGTTAATAAATAAAAAATTAAATTTAAAAAACTCACGATTTCTTCTTTTGCCATCAGCTCCAAAATCCACATGTGCAAGTTGACAGGTGTCAAGTATTTATTCTCCAAGACTTCGGATGGCCAATGAAGTTTTATAGAAATCATACTTTAGAAATAATAATAATACTTCAGATCTGAAAAAAAATTCAATTAAATTAATAAATTAACTGAATTTTCGAGAAGTTAGGTACAATTAATAGCAAAAATTCAGTTATTTTCAAAAATTCTTGAAAAAATTAAATTATTTATAGAGAAATAACAAAATTCTTCAAAGGTACTCAATTACTTTTATAAATAGTAAAATTCTTTGCAAAAATTAAATTATTTTCAATACAACTTTAATAACATTAATGATAGATTACACAAAAGTTAACAGACAAATTTCACTTAGTCACGAAAATTCTACTCATGCTATAAAATAAGCTCAATTTCGACAGTTGTCTAAAAACCTATAATAAGAAAAAGCCAATAGAATACCTAGCATATTTTAAGTTTAATTAATAAAAAAAAAATTGTTTTCCAAAATTAGATATAAATTATTTTTCTATAAACTGTTATTTCACTCTTTTGGAATTTATATATCATTTTAGATGACTTTTTTTTCTCTAATTTACAATCCTCCCACTGTTTGACATTAATTTTAAAAGGGGGAAAAAGATGAAAGCTTCCAGAGAGTCCATGGAATGTACGTAAAGGTTATTTATGAAAAAAATGAAGAAAGAAGAATAATGGCGAATTTCCGTTTTCTTCTCTTTGGCGTCGAGTGTGTTACTCTCTCTCTATCTATCTGCTGCTGCCACGAGGCCAACGGTTTTCTAAATATAATATCGAGTGACACTTGTTTCGTGTAAATCAAGTCGCATTCGGCAACGTATGAAAAAAATCCGATTACACCACCAACAGATAATAATTGATCAACATTGTATCAAAAATTTTTTTCTTCAATCCGAATATTTTTTTTTAAATTGATTCAATTGCTGAACCAGAAACGAAATGAAAAAAATAATAGATATATACTTCATTAGAAAATAGAAACATTTTTATAACCTAAATTAATTAAATAATTCATAACCTAAAAAATAATGATTCATAACCTCAAAAATGATCGATAGTGAAGAAATATATTTGTAAATCAGCTATACGATTATTTGCATACGTAAAACGATTGTGAAAAGATGCAAATATTAAGTGTAGCAAGTCTCCACATCGACAGATTAGCATTTTAGTTGTAGGTAGGTAACAACCTGTCGCTTGCAATTTTACGACTCCCAACGAAATTCAACTGCGCCTTTCAATGAAAGAGCCAAGTTATCAAAAGAATATTTATAACTCAAAGACTATAAAAAAAGAATAAATGATTCATGTCCACGTGTAACACTTGTTAAATGTTACAATGTTCAAAAAAAACTATTATAAGTTATAACCGAATAAAATAAAATCCAACTCCGACAATAATAATAATAAAAGTTAACCTGCTATGGAAAAATATGTTTCAAACATTAACATTATATTCGTTTTATTCTTTTTTTTCCTCTTTCTTCACCAGTAGATCTATAAAATCTCGAACTGCAACTCACTGATTTCTTCAATAACACTTGGACGCCATTTTTTTAATGAACAACCTTTCTGTCATCTAGCGGGGAGTTTGGGGCTTGGCGCGAAATTAAAATTAAATCGAAAATTTATGAATTAAATTAAGTACGATTTTGAATATTTGACGCGAAAGTTGACTGCGAACATAGCATTAAAGTTTAAAATTTCTTAAACTCTGGTGCAATGTTTAGTCAACTTTTACGTCAGACATTGAATAACAGCAAACATTTAAAGAACAACTTCAAGTTTCATAAAAGATTCGAAAGGTTGCAGTCAAGTTAGTTTCAACTTTCAGGAAATTTTCGGTGCTGTCTGGGCATCCAAAGGTTAGATTTCACAATTCTTTCTAAGTTGTAAATTAACATACGATCAAAAATACTTCAATACGGTTGTTAATTTACAACCTAAGTTTTGTAAATATTTGTAAAGATGCAAGAAAGGAAGAGAATTTACCTGCGCGATTAGGTGCAAAGTCCACTTGAAGATGAAACCTTCTTGTAAGAATAGGATCCTCTTTGGAAACATCAACCAAAGACTAGCAGTTTTGAAAAGACGGAAAAGGTATTATTTAAAGAAAGGTTAGAGATACGCGATCTGCGTTGCAGTACCTAGGAAGAGATGCAAAAGGCAAAAGTCCTAATGATACCAGCAAAAAGCAGGTAAGTGTCGGTCCTAGGGACCCAACAAACTAATGAAAAATCTTTGTTGCAGTCACTAGCCAAGAGGGGGTAAACATTCTACAGCAACCTGCGGACACAATGATCGGATTTATGACTTCCGGAGTCCTTCAATCAGACGTCGTTATAATTGAAGTAGTTTATGGTTATAATTGAAGTTAGCTGCCTTTCTGAACAACATGGAAGAAAACTTTGGAGCATTATCTGAAAATTATCCAGTCAAGGGTTTTTAGAAGACAATATCTGACGCTGCTGATGCTTCGCGGTGAAACCTAATACGTCAAGGAATTTAAAGTTGTGATTGTTAATTTCAAAGTAAAAATACTGTAGAATAATTAATTCCCAGTGCAAAATGAAAGTTAAAATTAACTTGATTGCAAAATTCGAAATCTTTAGTTGTGAAGCTTGTGAAACTTGACGTAAACCTTTAAATCTCTACCGTTTTTCAGTGTTCTTTTTTAACGAACCATGTTCGTTCTAAAAAAATTCTTTAAACGTTTTTAGAACGTTCCGTGTCTGCCAAATAATGTTCCAAAACATTTCAAAAACATGGATGTACTACAGAATTATTTGGCGGACATAAAACGTTCTCGTTTTTGGAACGAACATGGTTTCTTGACCAGAGGGTGTGAGGCGATAGTTGACTAAACATTAAAATAAATAAAAAATAAACATATAGCAGATAGCAGACATCTAAAGAACTACTTTAAATTTCATGAGCTTCGCAACTATACAGACTCCGAGAGTTGCACTCAAGATAATTGTACCTAACTTTTAAGAACACAATTTTTCTGCTGATATCAAATTGAGACAAAAAACGAATCAAAAGTTTTGCGAAGCAAAGTTTTGATTCGTTTTTTGTCTCTATTTTGATATCGTTGGAAAAGCTGCGAAAACTGAACCGAGTTTATTAATCAAGATTAAAGGATCATAAACATAACTTTAAATTTCTTGCCACATTAGTCCTTTTTCACCACGAAGCATCACATACTAAGTAGATAAATCGTACTTTTAAGTCATAAGTACTTTTAAGTGTTAACAAGAAAATCATATACAGCATAACTTCAAGCGAAACTTAAGGAGAAATTCGTCATAGTGAAAAGAACAATAATCCCACAGGAAATGGAGTGTGCAGGGACAGATCTTAAAGAAGACTTCTTACAAGGGCTGCAAAAGCGAAATCCCATAGACCTATTCTCACCCACAAAATAAAAGCCTAGTTCCGTAGGAAGAAGAATAGTCCAGCAATGTGTTGTTTTAGTGGGTCGGCAAGGACAAAAGCATCAATCCCCAAATGACCCTGAAATACAGACTCCTTGTTTATCTAAATACCCGGAATTGTATAATTCCTTCTGCGGAGGGTTCAAACAGATGTTTTACATTCTACGAAAAATAAACATGTAAAATCAATAAAAGCGGAAAAATTAAATTAAAATAAAAGAAAAGAAATGTTAATTTTACAAATATTGAATTTTTCGTATTATAAAATTTTAGAAGAATGGAAGAGAAAAATTGTTAGGACGCGTGTGTCATTAACCTTCGGAAAAATTTCATAATGTAAGGAGAAGTGTTGTAGACTACAGACTCGAGACAAGAGAACTTATATACTCGACTCAGACACGTCGAGGATTCCTCCTCACTGGATATAGAACCCATACCGAGAAATGCTTTTTATTTTGCCATTTTAAAAATTCTCTTCCGTTTTTACAATATTATCTATAAGCCTGATAACAAAAACATTTTTTTTATGCGACGAAGGATATATTCAAACTATGCCAAACTGATTCGAATTAAACTTCGAATGTTTCAAACTTTAACCAAAATTTACCAAAATTGCAGGAAAAAAAGAAAAATTCAAGAAGAGTATAAACGTAGAAAAAAGATAATAAAAATTATCGATTGAGATGAATGTAAAAATAATGGATTATATTCTTGAGAAAACAAAGTTGGAGGACTGAGAGAAATAAAGGGAGAGAGAGAGAGAGAGGGAGATGAAGTACAGACAAGAATAATTTGTCGCATTGAGGTGGAATGCATGCGTGTATAAAGTGAAGTGATGGATCATCCTGTTCGGTTTCGAATAATAATACCTACGCGTCGCGAGCGACAACTAATTAGCATTGCATTTGTATTTATGGAAAATCAATGTCTCGACGTGAGATACGATCGCGAACATCAGTTGCTACCAAGATCCTTGATAAGACCTACGTATAGTCCAAGAGAATCAAAGACTTGATCCTTCATGTGGAAGTTTATTTATATATACACTTTCGCTTGCATCAGAAATTGACATTTCATTCTTTTCAAAAATTCATCATTCATTTATGTTAAATACCCGCACAAATATACTGAAAAACTCTCATAAATTCATTCACGAATAGAATTATTTTTTGTTAATATACAATAAATCAAAAATTTACGATCATCAAAATTTCATCATCAGGGTAGAGCACAAAAAAATCTCTGATTTCGAGGCAAAATTTTTATTTCTTCCCTGATTTTAAAGAATATTCTGATTCATTCTAAAAATTATTAGATTAAAAAAAAGTTCTAAGATGAATTCTAATGCTAATTAGTTTAATTGCCAAAATTACTCGAAAACATCAATAGTTTTTTTTAAAATAAATATTTTATTTTTCTATAGGACTTAAAATTTTCAAAAATTTTTAATTCAATAATTTATAAGAATATCATTATAAAATATGAAGAAGGCAATCACTCCGAGTCTTCGACTCGGAGTAATCGACTTCTTCATTTTTTATAATAATTTTTCAAAATTATTTGCATCATTTCAATTCAATTATTTTCTAGAAATTTTTAACTAAAATTCTTCTC